AAAAGAAAGTTTTCTCGTGCTTGACTTCCAGAGAATTGTTTTGCTTGTCTCGAAAACTTTCTTTTTTAAACAATAATTAACCATATTCACAGTCAGATTTCTCAAAGACTAAAATATAAAATTTGTTACTTTCTGATTTTATTCTTTAAACAGACAATTGTCTGTTCTTATAAAGATGCCTGTTAAAAAAACCAACACATTGGAGGTATATATATGCCGATGTATGTATCAACAATACAGTCAAAGAAACCGAAATTATACAAAATAAAATAAATTAGAATATAAATTTTGACATGCTCCTAATCAATATAAACAATTACTAAATAAAAGATGTAGTCGAACAAAGACAAAATTTAATAAAAGTATTACTAGAAGAACATTATAACATTCAAAGATACTATAAATAAAAAGTGTTGTCGATTGCTTACTATATTATTAAATTGAAATTCTTCTGTTTTACTCTCACTTTTAGATCTTTAGGTTCGTTTTGTCTAAATCTTTACTTTTATAAAGAAAAAACACTTGATACTATAGTTTCTTCCTTATATTAAGAAAAGTGTTGTATCCTAAAAGGGCCTAAATAGTATGACAGTAGAATGAACTATAAAAAAGATGTTCTCTTTTTGCTTTAAATATATTATTGATAGTTTGTTAAACGAACAATCTTTGGATACATAGCGATTAATTGCTTTTGAAGAAGTAGAAACAATTAGATAATAAAATCAAGTCCGATATATATAAACTATATACAGTAAAACTAGTATACAATCGAATGTTCTATAATAGAGGAATAATTGGGGAATAGAGGGAGGGCGGAATAGAGGAATAGCGATCGACCGACTGGAATATATTTTGAAACGTTCCCTAAGTGAAGAATCATCGTTCATATCTGTTGAGAAAAGGATGAAGGACTAGGTTTTAATAATAGCAAAACTTAAAATCTTGAGTGGGATTATACACATGTTCTTATTTTTCAAACTAATCTTAGGTTTAAGAGAAATCTTGAACAAACAATCTATTCTTCTAACATAAGTTAATGTAATTTCCGAGAGAACTTCTCGTACGAAATGCTGACTATGCAGGTTAGTATGACATTGAAGATCTGCTGACCGGGTCAAATTAACTCTTTCGACTATAAACTACACAACGTCTCTAAATTTTTTTCTACCCTAGAAAAAAATACTTATATAAGTAATTAAGATGCTTTCTTGATAATGATTAGGTTTCGAGCAGGAAGCGCTGTCATAGAAAATTGTTAAAGAAAAGGAATAAATATATATGAATCGTGAATAAAACACCATTAAAGAATTGTCTTTTATGTTTCACTCGAAAAGAAAACCTATTTCAAAGCTCCCACTGTCGAAACTAATTAATGAAGCAAAGTATTTTTTTAACTAATAAAATCGAAAATGTTATTGTATACTTCATGGGAGTTCTTTGAGGCTTTTTGGATTGTAGGAATGATGCATTTCTCTCATAAAGATATATTGCAGCAATAAATAACAAAAATGAAAGATTGTTACTCATATTTATTAGGTTTTTCCTACAAGATGTATAAATTACTCATTTTAATTGCTATATTCTTATGTAGATGAAATATTCTAACGACAGATGAAAATTAAATATTATGGTGTAATGAGAAATATTTGATAGTGATGAGTACATTAAAAGATAATGCCCTATTGCTGCTTCCAACTGGTGAACAGCAAATTATTGTAAGCATCAAATTTAATTGAGTTTATAAATATATATATATCATTCGAGATATTTGATTCATATTTTAGGTTGCTTGTCGTATTCGTCCAATGACAGAGGATGAAATTATTCAAGGCGGCACTATTATCGCTCATAAAGTCGCAGACGATAATGTATGTGATATTAACATCATTCTCTTTTCACAAGTAATAAATATGTCCATTCTAGATGGTTGTTTTACTTGATCCAGAAGAAGATCCGGATGATATTTTAAGAGCAAATCGATCTCGAGAACGTAAATACATGTTTGATATCGTGTCTGATGCAAGAGCAGGACAGGTGTGTTTTAAATATGTTCTTTCTTTTTTAATCTGATGTTAATTTTTGCACTCTCTCTCTTTTAGCAAGAAGTATACGCTGCCACAGCTAAGATTCTACTCGGAAGTGTGCTAGAAGGTTACAATGCCACCGTTTTTGCTTATGGAGCTACAGGTGCTGGTAAAACGTATACCATGTTGGGCACAGAACATAATCCCGGTGTTATGTATCGGACGCTACATGATTTATTTGTTGAAATACAACAATTTGACGGCAAACGGGAATATCAAGGTAAGAGCATTATTGAAAATTTAATATATCTGTCTGTACATACTAGTCTTGTTTTTAGTATCAATGTCCTATTTGGAAATATATAACGAACTTATACGAGATTTATTAGTACCATCAACATCTTTTTTGGAATTGAGAGAAGATGCCAAAGGAACAATACAAGTTGCAGGATTATCAGAAGTGATTGCTAAAACACCCGAAGAGGTAACAACATTCGTCGCTTGTTGTTATTAAGTTAATTTTTATATTATGATTTCTGTTTTAGGTAATGGAAATGTTACACAAAGGCAATCGTGCACGGACCCAAGAACCGACAAAAGCAAATAAAACATCATCGAGATCACACGCTGTCTTACAAGTGAATATCAAACAACGAGATGTAACAAGATCTCATACTGAACAAGTTCGTTTTGGTAAATAACGTTGCTACTCATTCTAAATTCTAAGTTCAAAACTTAATGGAGACTTCTTTTTTATGTTTTTAGCGAAACTTTATATGATTGATCTTGCCGGTTCGGAACGAGCTGCACAAACACAAAATACTGGCCGTCGTATGATGGAAGGAGCGCATATAAATCGTTCATTGTTAGCACTTGGAAATTGTATAAACGCTTTAAGTAAGCTAAAACATTCATTTCTCGTACAGATTTTAACGATTCTTCTGTTAGGTGAAAAGGGTACAACAAAATATGTTAATTATCGTGATAGTAAATTAACAAGGATATTAAAAGATTCACTGGGTGGTAATTCACGAACAGTTATGATTGCTCATGTTAGTCCAGCAAGTGTCCACTTTGAAGAATCTCGAAATACACTGAATTATGCTGATAGAGCCAAATACATTAAGACTAAAGTAAAAGTTGTTTACCAAATACATGAAATGATTAATATAACTGTGTTTTTTTTTTATTACTACTATTTAGATTCGTCGCAATGTTATCGATGTATCCTATCATATCGCTCAATATCAACAAATAATTCAAGATCTTCGTAGTCAAGTACAATTATTAAGAGAACAAAAAGATGATTTAGAAATGCGTTTATCAGTATCAAATGAAGCAAGATTCAGTCGACTAAGTGGTTAGTGACTTCAATAATACAGTCGTATATAAATGCAAGAAGTTTTATACTTCTTGTTTTAGATACTACAACTGAACGTCTACGTGTAGAAGAAAGTATAAAATTAAAAGAAAATATAGTACAAGCGTTTAAAAAACAAATAGATGCACGACGATCTCTATTAGAAATCGATAATGCTCTAATGGATATTACTCATGAATGTTCAAGAAATGAGTCAATTTTAGAACAGTAAGTATACTTTATTGGTGTATTCATACGTTAGATATTGATAATTTTTGTTTTAGCTATGAATCGAACAAAGAAAATAGTCCACGAAATAAAAAACAAACGTTCGATAATACGGAACCGGAAAATGTTCAACGTGCAAAAGCTGAATTAAAAGTACTAGATGGTGAAAGGTCAAAATTAGAAAAACAAAGAAAAACACAAATGAAAGAATTTGATACATCAAAAGCGGATGCTAAAAAACTTTATGAAGTACGATGAAAAGATAGAGAAATGTGTTTTTTAAAAAAATATATAATGATGATTACTTTAGAAAGTATCGAAACGTTTAACAAGTCAAGATCAACGTGAATTACTTCGATTATTGACACAAAATTTTGAATTTGAATTGAAAAATATTGAATTACAAGCCGATATATTTGTCAGAGATTTTTCTATAAAACATAAAGATTTACAATTATTAAGAATGTCACAGCATCGAAGTTTGTGCGACACACTCATCTATCAACAACGACGATTAATACAGGGTAAGCTTCTCTCAAACTCTGTCTTATAAAGAATGAAAAGATCTCAATATAAAAAAGTTTAGATATTCATTCTGCTTTTCTAATGCATAAGTAACATCATACAGAATTATTGTTCTACTCATTTTTTTGATCAATCAGTCCCACGTATCAAACTGACATTCCATGTTGTGTAAACCGCTCGAAAACCGTCGTTAATCGCAGTTACTTCAGCTGAAACCATAGCAGCACAGCATAACAACCGACGGTTAAGCGCCCAGTTAACCGAAAAAACGGTCAGTTAACCGCAGTTATTTTCGGTTAATTGGGCGCTTAACCGTCGGTTGTTATGCTGTGCTGCTATGGTTTCGGCTGAAATAATCGTTGGTTTTTCGGCCGTTAATCGTTGGTTTTTAAAATAACCGCGGTTAACTGATGGTTTTCGAGCGGTTTACACAACATGGGATCTCAATAGCAATTAGTTGAGTGGTTCTCAAATACTTGTGAAAAAATCAAAATAACTGTGAATAGTACTCAACATGTCGTTCTCTGCGAAAATACGTCGTTGTAATGTAAATGTATGCCTTTTCTATAAGCTTGATCCGAAGTATTTACTAAACCGAACATCGATACTAAAGTAAATATTACGAACAGCTTGTAGATACGTTAACAAGTATTGATGTTTACAACTATGTAATACTTTTATTTAGAGAACAAGATCCCTGTACCGTCAGATCTTGAAGAGTTGTATCAGTTATACTCACGTGATATCGACGAAGGACAATTGATGAAGGTAATATCTGCTGTGGTTTTTTCCCGAATATTCCTTTTTGCAAGGATTTTTTCTTCTGACTGTTTTCAATAGACAATAGGCGTTTCAATATTTTTGTTTTTTATTACGCTTTCATTTCAATTTTCTCAATGGCATTGTACGACAAATATAATGTGTTTTATCTTATCTTTCTGTGAGGGAAAAAGTCTGCCTTTACTTAATTATTTACTTGGCATCCTCGGTAGTTTCAGCTATCTGATTATATTTTGAATTCTAGGATCTAGCAGCACATTCTCCCCGAACATTAACCAAAATGGGTCTTAGTGTATCTCAACTTCCTATATTAAGTCAAATAGCAGAAGAAGATCTTACGAGTGCTTCAACATCTGTAACAAGTTTTCACTTAATTCCAAATAATCAACGAACACGCACAACAAATAATGTAACAACTAATTTATTAAATAATCGTGCGCTATCTGATCAAGAACTTTTTACTCGTGTAAACGAAAATGACTCGAATAATATAAGCTTGAATGATAGCTCTACGACTCAAGCACTAAACTCTCTCATAATGAAATCAACGGCTACTAATAACACTATGAATAATAATAATGCACCGTTGTCCTATGCACATTTTAATTTTGATGGAAAATTAGCAAAAGGAAATTCATTAGTTAGTATTAGTAGTGAAAGTGTTGATGTACCAATTGATTCTCAAATACCACGACGAAAATTTTCATCGCCCGATGCTAGTGGAGGATTAAGAAGTAATGATCCGTCACCATCATTATTCAATAAAAATGGAACAACAACAACTGCTGGACAAGGACAACAACAAGCAAAAGGAAGACTAAGAAAACAGACACAAGATATTGCAGCGCGAGCAGCTCAACGTCGTGCAAATTTACATCATCGAGAATTAATGGAAGACCTTGGTAAAATAGAGTATTTCTATGTATTACATCTAAACTATTTATATAACGTTTTATTTAGGATATGATCCAAATATATCAAAAGAAAATACATCATCCGTATTTGGATTAGAAGTTACAGGAATGAAACCAAAGAAAACTGTGACAATTCAAGATCCGGCGCCAGTGAGTAAAATAAATTATTTCTATAGACGTCAATATTGTCATAGTTCACTTTAGGGAAGAAATCGACAAATCGATCGAACTCATGATCTACGACGAACCAATTCGGATTCACCCGAATTAATAAAAACAACAACAAATGGTATGTTTTTTTATAAAATCTTGTATATTATCTCTTAATTCTTCGATCTCACTTTTTTCTAAGATCCATTCTTTCCATCCTCATATCAACGATCGACAAAAACAAATAAGAAACGCTCAATATGTAAGTAATTTAATATAAAAATTGTATATTTATTCACATTGATTATTGTGTATGTTTTTTAGCTCATGGTTCATCGAATTCGAACACTAATCAACGATCATCGATGCCTATGGCTAACATCGTTGTACCACGGGATCCCTTTTAAATTTTATTTTGTCTTGTCATCGTAAATCTTTTTATAATGATCTCTAACTGTTTGTTAATATCTCTTGTGTAGATAGCTAGGTATTAAATCAAAAAAGTACTTTTTTGCATTTGTTCTTCTCTGAAAGTATAGACTATATTTTATTTAAAACAACTTTCTCATATATTTTTGTTGTTTTCAAATTATTATTTCTTTTTTTGTTTGACATAATTTTTAGAACATCAATGCTAAATATACTCTCTATCATTAAATTAAATGATAAAGAATACTTTTGTCTCAGTTTTTTTGTTGAATAAAATATTTTAATAAAAAATTGTCGGCTTTGTGTATAACTAGTTCAAGATTTATTTTATTTAAGTCAACAATAGAGATCATGTAAGGAGAGAACGTACAAAGGGAATCAAATATGATTTAACTTAATGATGTGCTATCCGATTATTTTTTATAAGACAATAAAATCTTCCATATTTATACAGTAATGGGAAAAAAATGTATTTGTCTTCAACGTCTTATTCTTTCTTAACTTAAGTTATAGAAAACAATAATAGGAAAAAAAGTAGTGATATAGTTTGATCTCGTATTTTAAAAGGAGAAAAAAATAAGCTAGCAGATTTTAATTACATCTATATACAAAGGAAAAAAGAGAGCTTGATTGAAAAAGATTGTCACTTGTTTTATGCCATTAGTAAGGATTAATATGAAAGAAGAGAAAAAAAAACAGCTTAGTAAATAAATAGAAATCCGGGATATACGTATGACGACTTAATTTCTGTTGAAGGTGAATGAAAGGAAAAAAAGAAAGAAGAGTTATTATTCATCATCTGTCCTCCTAAAACGATAGAAGTTTGTTAACATTCTCAACATGAATGTTGCCGGTACAGTTATGGTTGAACTTGTTTCTTCCAACATTAATGAATTACGTTTTATTGTTTGATTTATAATGTCTTGTTCATCAGCAGCATGTTCGAGTAATGGGGACCATAATTTGATGTCATAATCAATTCCACTTGATGCTAATATAGGATAATTAAGAGGATGAGGTTGAAGACAGTTAACAACATGACGATCAGCTACAATTATTCGAACAATACGACTAGTCTCTTTATCCCAAATAAATATATGACCACAATCAGATCCTGACATTACATGTCGATCACCCCAAAAATTACATTCTTTAATCATTGTTCGTGCATTTCGATGACCATCGTAAGAATTAATTAATGTTGGACTTGGTATATCTTTTAACATGTCTTCTTCATTTTTTCGATCAAGTTCACGTTTTTTCATTATACGATCAAATTTTTCGATCATATTCGGACGTGGACGACGACGTGGCTGTTGTTCAGCGGAAGCACTTGCTGCTTCATTTGCCGATTCTTGACGATTTGTACTTTCGCCCCTAATGCTTCGTTTCCGTTCATCATCCTCATTGTCATCCTTAAATTGAAAAGTTATTATTATTTTTCTACATTTTTTTAGTGTAAACCTTCAAAACTATTTTACCTCATCCTCTTCTGAGTCATTTTCATCACTTTCATCTTCATCAAAATCATCCTCATGAAAAATTACTGAATATGTTTCACGTGATGTTTCATCTTCATTTTCTACTTCTTCTCTGTTATTGTTGTTGACATTTATTGATGTTTCATCAGTAGTAACGTTGAGGCTGGAGGATGGACTATTGACTATTGGATGTTCATTTGATGGTCGACGAGGTGACTGTGAGAAGGGTTGAGTAACCATTTCTGTTGATGGTAGAGATGTTTCAGAATGATGTTCTTGTTCAACATCCATGGATTCTATCGGTTTTGTTGTTGTAAACTGACCTGCATTTTCAGATGAATCAAAAAAATCGTCGGATTGCTCGTCAATTGACGAAGATGATGGTTTCTCATTGTTGGCTTGGTCATCTTCCATTGAAACCGATTGAGTGACTAGAAATCAAACAAATAATGAATCAAATTACGATTCGACAGTCGGCATCTATCATTCTTACCTTGAGACGACGTTTCAACTGTATTTTGATTCACTGTGCTTTCTTCACTGTTGTTGTTGCTTACTTCTTGATTAGGAGCAGATTGTTCATCATCCTGACTTGTTGTCGTTCGTGATACAAGTTGAGTTAATATATCCGACATTCGTTGCATTAAATAATTTTGCAAGTTTCGTCTTTGTGGTTGTTGCTGTTCACTGTTGCCACTATTTGTCTCGGTTGTTCGTTCCTGATGTTGTTGTTCATTTTCTGTTTCTAGAGTATCATTTTCTACCTGTGGACGTGATTCAGGACCCGTATCAGACCAATCACCTCTTAATCTCAAACGCTTAAAATGCGATGCTCCACGTTGTTCATTGGATGATGCGGACGGTCTTGTTCTGGTAGCACTTGATGCTTCTTTTGGTGGTGATTGTCGAGTAGCTCGAGTAGAAATCGGTGTCGATGAATGTTTATTACTACGTTGTTGTTTCTTTTCCTGTTGATGTATGGATAATTGTTCTTTCTGTTTCGCTTGTGAGGTAAAATTTTTGGGATCAATCAGATACAATGATTCAGTCGAATAGGATGCTAATATTTCAGTACCATAACGATTATAAACAACAGACGTAATTCTGCGTGGGCGAGGTTCAGTCGGTTCATTGAGTAGAAATCGTCCCACGAGACCATTTATACTCACTTCGGTACTTTTACCACGTGATCTCAATTGTTGTTTAGTTTCTGATTGAAAACTACCTGTTGATAACTTTCGATGATCATATAAACGAACCTAAAAACATAAAACAAGGTAATTGAGAAGCAAGATAGTTTCAGATGATCACTTACTGACGAGTCCGAGCAAGCGCAAACAATTTCATTTGGGTTGAATGGATTAATATCCATTGATGTTATGGCCCATTTACTTCTGATAAGTATCTGTACAATTCAAAACAAATTATATACCAAAAATTTGGGTAATAAAATCTTTTTACTTACATCATCATAACAAAGCGATTTTAAACAATTTGATTTTGTTCTTAAATCAAATAATCGCACAGTACAATCTTCTGAGCATGAAAAGAATAAATTTGGTGTCTGTGGTATAACTCGGATTTCGTAACATGTCGTCGAACCATGACAATTAAAACATCCTTCGCGTGTTGGCTGTGATGGATCACGATGTGGTGGTGGACAGTTGCGCGATATCGTCGGTGAAGATGGTGCACGTGTTAAATCCGTATGGAAAATTTGTCCGTCACCTGAACACGATACAACACCCATATCATTTGTTTCTGGTAAAAATTTTGCTGAGAATATATTTTCTCGATGTCCACTATGTACACTTTTACGAATTGTACATGAAAATGGATCGGTGACAATTAACTGTTGATCATCACTACCACTAAGTATTACTGAACCTCTATCGTTCCAACACAGAGTATTTACACATCCATGATGAACTTCTAATTCTATTGTTTCCCGTTTTAAACGCTTTGTAATGTAGGATGAATTTTTCAATTTATATAATAATTGAGAATGAGTTAATTGACCATATTGACGTTGAAAATGGTCAACATGCGAACGATAATACATCTTGATACAAAAATAAATAATATCTGTAAAATAATAAAAATAGTTAAAAGCAATAATCCAGAAGTAACACTATCCTATCTTGAATATCAGAATAAAACATTATTAAACCGTCTGTTGCACTCCAATATAATCGATTTTCTATCTTGATTCGTTCGATACTCTTCAGTTCTAAAGCGGGCATATATGTTAGACTAAGGTATCACATTCCTTTTTTAGTACATTTACGATAAATAGGTCCTTACTGTTTCAAGTCTATTATTAGCTTAAACTAATATTAGTTCAGGCATGAACAATATCTCTTATCAAAACGATAAAAGCCCCGAATAAGGACTATTTTATTATTTATTATTATTTTAACCCTTTAAATCCCAAATTATTTTTGCTAGATTGAATTGAAGCAGATCGTTATATTAAGTTATTTTAGACACAGACTTATCTCTCATATCTCTCCACATAAGTGCATCTACTATTAATTGGCTGATTCCCCATTGCTTCATTCCAAGAGATTACGTACTAATTTTTATAAATTATGTTGTGAAAAATAATTATAAAACATGTGTAGCATTTTTTCTACTTATGGAACTCAAAGGATTAACTTTATCGATATTCCATTCTTTTCTCGCTACTCAGTACATTGAATTGTACATATCGACGTATTTTCTATTTCATTTTCTTCGATTAATAATTGAACTATGTACTAATGTGCCAGTCTAAAAAGAAAATAAAGCACCCATACAAGATACATGAGCATTTTTCTTTTCTATGAAATCTAGTCTAATTACAATTCAATTAATACGTTATGAAATGACTAACCTCGTTCATACTTTTAGATTTTAGAAAACACAATTTGGAAAACTATAGATACCTCTAATTAGAAATTTGGACTAATTACATGCATTCAATACATTTACAAGTAGCTGAGTATCCAAATGTCCTTGTTTGGTTATAGTAAGAAAATATCTAAACCTTTCTGTCCAAGATCATTGATTTTATATACATTAACCATTGAACTAATAGAAATGATATCTTGCTACTGCAGTCTGCTGTACCCCAATTAAAAAGTTTTAATATTGTGATATTTGCCTCAAAGAGCGTCTTCAACAGAACAAAATACAATTTAATACAAGTTGCATAAACCATATATGTCAGTCAATCGATTTTATAATATTTGTGATATTTTCGTCCTTTTATTTTATAAAACATCATCATTCTGTATTCTGCCTCATGGCGAGTAGAGTTGTCTGAATAATTTGATCATTAATTAAATTGACATTCTGAATAATTTTATAACTCTGTTCACCATTTCTTAATCTTTCGTGGCACATAAAGCCATACATATGTACTTGAGTTTAAAATTGCGAAAGTATGATATCCTTGTCGATTGAAATTGTGTTCATATATTTTTCTATTCGAAACTCTCTTGAGAGACATCATCTATAACAAATGATGTGTTTAATGCTGAAACTGACTTTCATCATGTTCTCTTCTTTGACAACATTAGAAACACGATAATCTAGAATAAACGTATTTTTCATCAGATATGAAACATTTAACAGGCTACATACATTGCTTAAGAAAGTTCAATATTTGGCTAATCCCAGTTTATCCATAATAATAATTTTTCTCAGACTGCAATCTTAAACTTCTGTTTTCGTCGTAGCAACAGAAGCTGCATTTATCGTTCACATAAGTTACTCTAGCCAGTTCAACGAGAAATGAGTGGAGTAAAATTCATAGTTTAATTTTTATTTTCTCGGCTATGAAAAAATTGATTATCTGAAATAACACAACAAAAATGTTGTGAGTACAGTAAAAACAAAGCAACACACTCACATAGTTGAAAAAAACAAGTAACACATATAAAAAGAGCTTTAATATTTAACCAAATATACGCCATCGTGTTTTAGGGGAAAATTGTCGTTGTATTGTATCGGCTATATAATTATACGAACGCATATCACTACTATTAACACCTTTTCCATATCCTGCAACAGCTAAAGGGGTTGAGAATATACGACGAGATACACGCACAATATCATCGGCTGTGATACGTTCTAAAAGAATAAAAACTAGCAAAATAAAAGAAAAGAGTATTATTTGCCTACTACATACTTATTCTGTTAAAATAATAGTCGGCTTGCTGTCTTTTTCCTACAGCTAATACTTGTCTTGCAACATCTTCGAATACGATTGGACGTTGTTCAAGATTCATAAATAGCATTGATTGTAATTGAGCTTTAGCACGATCCAATTCATCCTGAATAAACAAGCATGTGCACTGAGAAATACTATCATAAGGAGTGAGTAACTTACTGCATCAGGCATATGTGCTATTAGTAAACCAATTTCTCTTAGTGCAACATCAATCATTTTCTTTAAAAACGGCGGATCACAACCAAAATGCATGTAAAAACATCCACTATCTTCGTATGCTTGATTATAAGATACGGCTGTTCTCATCAGTTCATTTCTAAACAGAATAAACAATTATTCATATAAATTTTCATGATTCGATGCTTTTCTGCTCACCTATTCAAAACGTTCATGTACATTCTTGAATAGAGGCCTTTACCCGGACCACCGGCACTGAACGATCCACCACCTCCAAGTAATTGACTGAGCACACACGTTGTTACAAAGTCATGTTCTTCCAAATAGGATGGCGCTAAATTAATGAGACGATTTATTTACAAACCGATCTGCATATATCCACAAGTGAAGCCTTGCCTTCAAATCCCAAAACAACATGAACTTGTTCCGGCAACGGTTCTGTACCAAATGTCAAATTACTCAGGTCGCTTTCAATCTGAATCCGAGAATAATAAAAGACGAGGATGCACATCTATCTGCAGTTAATTAAACATCTCAGCTCTTACATACCAAACATTTACCACCAGTCCATATGGCTTTTGATGGTGCAATTATTTTTTGTTGTGCTATATCTTTCATCGTTTTCCACACTGGTGTCTTATTTAAAAAATGTTTTTTGCCTAATTCAACTAAATAATCATGATCAACACCAACACCGGCTAATACCATTCGTTCAGGTCTGTAATAATCATTCATATACGAATAAATAAGTTTTGAATCTATTTTACTAATATTCTCTAATGGTGTGAACTTGGGTAATCCCAATGTTTGATTACCATAGCCAGCCTAAATATGACTAAGATTTTATCAATTTGGCTACAATGGTGTTTAACCCTTACAGAATGAATCATATCGGTTAATATTGGCGTTGGATCATATCTTTTATATAAGTTGTCTATTTCGCCAAATACAGCTGCTTGTGCTTCTTCTAACTAAATGTAATAATACAAGATATACTAATAAATCATCTATAAAATTTTATACAATTTAATTTTACTTCTTCTGATAGCAATTTTGGTTGAAATATCGTTTCAGAAAGTATATCTACAACACGCTCTAGGCCACTTGTTCGACAGGATAAGGCATATATAATAATGTCTCTAAAAGAACATAATCCAGACTATTCATCGGCAATTTAAGCAATTTAAAAGTAATTCTTACTTTGAATTTTGACAATCACATATTGCATTCACTGATTGTAATGAATCTTGTATAAGATCTCTATTCGCATAATTGGTTGTAGACTAAAACAAATTACAAAAATCTCATTGAAGAAAAAACTGTTAGCAATAACATCTGCCGATATTTCGTTTTTCCTCCGTCATTTCCTATGTCATTTATATTTAGTGTGTATCTACCTATTATTCGTATCTTAAGCCGGTAAAGTCATTTTGAATGACGATGTTCTTTTAACACTGATAAAATATATTTTCGTCAAATTTAATGTAATTAACTGGTGATTTCATTTTTCAATGTCGAGTGAGCAACCAGATTTGTTTGCAAACGTACTTCTATTCTTGTGGATTAACTATGATTTGGATATATACGCAATCCAGTAAGCAGTTATCATTGAATAACTGTTCTTTATCAAACAGACATATACATCCTCTGTTTATTGATTTAAAAGATGGGTTCTGTCGAACTTTCTATTGCATTTCTTTTATCAAAGTTTCATTTCTTAGACATATGACAAACATTTAGATGAACAAGTACAATCGTTCGATATTAACATATTTTTTAATAAAACAACCATGGTAGATCAATCGAAAAAAATTCTGTGGGTTTGAATGAAGAACTGGTTTTAATCAATAGGCGCAACGTCAATACTGCATCATCTTTGAGGTATTGGATAGTGACAAGTCAAACACCACATCATGCGTAAACAAAAATAGAAGAATTTCTAATCCTAATAACAATAAAAACAAACTTCTATTCTCTTTTAGTGGAGAAGATTTTTTGCACTTAAAGTTTGATCCCATGAGGACTTTTTTCCGTTTTAAACGGTGTCCAAACATGTGTAAACGACAAAAATAATGGAAACGCGTTTCTTATATCGCCCTACTGTACGTGATAAACTTATGAAGTGGTCATAGAAAAAACGACCTACGTTGGTAGTTTATAGCTTACTTCTCTCATTTAGATTGTTTTCTTAAAAGAAATTAGCCAAAGTTAAATGCAGTAGCTTACCATAAAAGCTAATTTTTCTAAAAAATGTGAGATACCATTCATATAACCGCCTTCAAAACGTGGACCAGCAGATATAATAACTAAAATAAACAAAATAAAAGTTAAAAAGTATTGAAAGAAAATTAAACTGACTTAATATTACCTCCTACAGTACAAAAATCTCCAAATAATTTTTCTGATGCCACTTTCAGTCCATTATCTAATGTCGTGACATGTGTCTCATAACGATTTGCTCCTGACTGAGCATACTTGACGTCTGGTAACCATGAAACTGATTTGCTCATCGACGGAAACGTATACGAAGATAACAAAGAATCACGTCCCAAAGAGCCGGTCTCAGGTGGGAGTGACGACTTTGAGGTTGTGTTAGTACGAATATACCTTTGATAACGAGGAAAAAGTACAATGAACAAAACCAGTTGCATTCAAAGCCACAATCGATAACCTACTTAGGAACACAGGTCCTCAGAATTGGTCTACACCACAATCGAGCAGTACTCAGCATCTAAAAGGTGCAATAATATGAAAGGAGTGAAAAAAATCCCCTCCTCAAACATTCTCTGTAGCTTTGACCGCATATTATCTGTGCAAGGCGTTTTAAGTATGGTATAGAAGATCTGCGGATCACAGATGATAAGATAGTGTTTTCTACATTTTCCAAAGCATTCATATTGAAAGGGCGAAAACGCGTTCAACTGTAAATAAGGAATTAGGGTAGAGTAGTAATCCCTAGTAAGGCTCATGATATCAATAAAACTGCTATATATACGTTGTTTCCTTTTTAACTCCAAAGAGTACCTCCAAGGAGAGACTATTTACGTCAATCGGCACTACCTAGCTCCTTGAAATAGAAATTGCATGGCTCGATTTTCATTGGGGTCTGCGTGATGCAATGCAATTGTAGAGCATATATTCACGGATGTTAGTGCCATCTACACCGTCGATTTAGATATATATGCCATTAAATCACTGGAGGAGTAGGCAATTTTTAAAAAGGCGTATCGGATCTCTTTTTGGAGTTTGAGTATCACAGACGAATTCTTATTCTAATAATACATTTTATTTATTCGGTTTTTGCCCCTCCGTGCTGCTGATTATGGCTTTCCGTCGAAGTGTGAATTAAAAGCAAGGATTTTAAATAGAAATAATTGATAATACTCAAAACAAACGAGAACTTGTCGTATCACGCGAACATTTCGAACGTTAGTTAGAGGGCAGATTTGGTTAAGTTCAACTCTAGATCTGAATTTCAGTTTGAATTGAAGAAATATTCTCAAAGATTTGACTTGGGCTTGAAATTTTGAAAATGCTATCTGATCGAACTTGAAAATTTTTAAGTCAGATCTATTCTAAATTTTCCGACATCGTTACTGTTCATAGTAAGGCATCCGATAGCACTAGGAAAACTGAGAGAGGAAGAAGCCAAGATAAGATGTGAAGTTATAGTACAACGTATTCTGAGAATAATCATAGTCGTCTAACAGAGACAATTACCTCGATTATTTAGATGGTTTCTGTTTTTCAGAATTGAGACGTTTTTAACCACAATTAATACAGCTATATTTCGGCAAAGTTAGGTTTAGTATTCATAAGATACACTTCTACACAACTTCTTTTACATGAGATAGAAGAGCATTGTTCGAAAGATAAAAACTTCTTTCGTTTCCAGATAAAATGAATTCTATTTCGTTATATCGTTACTGCCTGAAAAAATCTTTTCCGATTCTAAGCTGAGAACCTAGAACCTAACATCACTACCCTAATCCACTTTCCCTGATGAAGTTTCCGGTGTACTCCCAAAAAAACGTGAAATCCCTACGTAGGTCTCAGGGCTTCCCTGTAAAATCCCTCGTCACTCGCTGGTTTTCAGGGAGTGGGGAGAAATAATGAAGTCACTAGTGACTCTCTAAGGATTTCTTAGGTAAAATGTACAACATATTCATCGTTTTGTTTTGCGTCTGCAGAAGCATATAAAACGTGGGAATTTAAACAGGAACATCTCTTTTTTATAGATTAATTTTTTTCGTGGATGAATTTTTTTTTGGATAAGTGTAGCTCTTCTGCCTGAAACTCGTCATTTTGACGTAAGTTAAGTTTACAGCCGAATGACTCATCCATTGGACGAGGTTCACTGGGTGGCTCAGATGAGAAAGAATTTTGGAAAGAAAGTGGTAGTTTTTCTTATATAAAATAAATTTTAGTTTGATAAAAAGTCGATGAAAGCAAGCTAAATTACGCTTAAAATCGAGAGTCGAATTCAGCATTTATTCGTTTTGGAAACTCTAAGAGAAATCCCTAGTGATTCTCTCTAAACTACCTGGAGAATCTTTGTCGTGATTCCCTGGGGATTTTTCCAGGAAAAGTGGACTAGGGTAGTAATCAATGCATAAATATTTGCTTTCTGTGCTTATACATACATCAGCAACGTTTTTATTGGAATTGTGAAAACCTATGTATTACAAAATAGTGATTATTATGTTGAATTAGATGTCCGTATTAGCATAACGTCATGTAAATGTACATGTAACTTATCCATTATGAGTATAACTGATTTGTACAAGAGTCATTTTCACCTAGTACGGAATCGGTCTCATTCATGTTCTTTACATCGGAGCTTCAGTTTCTGATCTGAAGGGTCTACGATGATAAACTTTTCCAATTACACTTATTATATTTGGTATGATTTTATGTAATTGGCATTCTCTATCATCTCAGTTTTCACTCCTTGCTCTTTTTGTAGTCGTACCGGATATATATATTTTTATTGTTCTCTTATTACATTGTTATCATAAAAAAAAAAATTTTTCTTTCATTTCTTTCATCATATTAAAAAGAGAATTAAGTTCCACTTCTATTTTTATTTAAACAAAAAATAGTGTTTCTGTTTACAACAAATACCGGACTACTATATAGTGAGACACCATACAGTGTCAATTTTTTTCAATTCTATGCATAAAACACAGTACAAACAAAGATATTTAGTTAATTTAAAAAATATTGCCAATTTTTATTATGGAGATTAAAATTTTATTCAATTTAATTTATTTTAATGATATGTTATCTTTTTCACTTCTCAAGAAGCAAATATAATCATTTCTTCATGCAAATAAATATTCTAATCAACATCATTGTCATGTTTAATATAAAGGAGAAATGGAATGAAGACGTAAAAAATTTTGAATAAATGAATGAGAAAAAGAAATGAATTCTTTAAGGACCACAATTTTGACTGCTTATAAAAATTTATCAAGTGGAATAATTTGAATTTATGTGATTGATCACTTTGATTTGAGAAAAGTTGCATGCAGTGAAGAAGCATACATGCTGAACTTCTGGTAAGTACAAGACTAGCCTGTAATTTCGCCTAATTTCTTTCAAAAATTGATCGTAGCTATTTTATGTGGTTAAAAGAATGATCACATTTTTGAAAAACGTGAAGATAAAAAGAGTTATGTTCGATCGACAGTTACTTCGACAGGCTCTTGATGTATGAGATTTATGTTGCATGATCAGTCAATAATTCTCTAAAATTGACAGAATGATTGATTAAAATTGTTGATTTTTTTGTGTTCTTTCAGTCTGAAAATTTTATCCGTCAACTAACTGTTAAAAAAAAAATACATAGTGAACTATGAATAAAATAAACATCTTTAATTTTTATTTTTTATTTACATTTTAAATTGCTTGAAATAAAATTAGAAAGTTTTCTTGAAAAATGTTCATCAGCAAAGATTTTTTCATATTAATTTTTCTTTAGTCGTTACGTCAGAAGTCAAAAAAGAAAAATATTAAAAATTATTATGTTTTATTTTGTGTATCATTAAAAACGGTAGTACGCTCTATAAATTCTATAAATTTTAATATTGATCAAAAAGTAAAAATTATATATTTCTAGCTTATAGATATTCTATCATTACAATCATAACAAAAATATTCTTTACGCCAAAAATAGTTCCTGTGCTATATATAAATGCTGAAGATTGAAGGATACTAACTATGTTTTAAAAGAAAACGGTGACAAATTCTAGTGGACGTGAGATCTGATTTTTTTTTCTATTTCTTATAGAATTAAAATTATTTATAATAGCATTAAGCAAATAAACTTATTTATGCAATTGTGAATGAGAGACAATGACAAGTAATGCAGTAACAAATCAGATGATTTTCTTGGGCAATTTTAATGATGGTTCAACTACACCAGATTGGTCTACCCAACAACAAAAAAATAAATTTATATCAAAAATTATTTTGGTAAGATAGACAAAATAATCTAAATATACAAATGATCGAAACGACTTGATCTTGTTATTGATAGTTATTTGAAAATTTTCTACTAAAAAATTTTAGCCTTGTGGGTATCATCGGCCAATGAAGGTAAAATTGTTCGTTCATTAAAATATCACATCTTCTAAAAAATTATTCATTGTAACGTTGTCTACATTGCATGTGTGTGAGTAAAAAGCACATGTTTCTTCGATTTCAGTTCCCTTGACTATTCACCGTTCTACATAAGTGTGTAAAAATTGACCTAGAATGTTTCGCAAAATATTTGTCACTTCTTTAAATAAGACATTGTTATAACGGGAAAACAAATAGACACTTTTACATCTATCGATTGTATTGTAAAAAGTAAGAGAGAAAATTATTCAAAAAATTTTTCCAAAACTCGATACACTCTAAAAAGATCCATCTGAAAATAAGATGGGACTTAATTCCATTAACATTTTATTTTTTTAAAGACAATTCAGAAAGTTCTATTCCAAATATTGATCATAGATCTCTATAAGATTTTTTAAAGGATCCTTCATATATGAATGATGAACGCAAACAAAAGAGATGAATGGCTAATTACAGAAGTAAGATGGATGAATATCTGATAAAAATAAATATTTTAAAATAAAATAGATAAGACGGATAGTGTAGTAAATCAAATATCATTTTATAATATACGGAAGATAATGTTAGAGAATATTACTAATATCAGGACAGACAAAAATCTATGCTACTTGAATACACTTGTATTGATGTGCACTCGTTATCATTTTTTTCTCAAACGCACTACTATTTATATACGCATGGTAAAAAAAAGTGTCTCAATATCACTTTACTGAATCTTGGTAAAAAAATAGATCCCGGATACAAAGTGGAAAAATGCGATTTATTTCTTGTATTTTCTTTTATAGCTCAATTCTAGTAGTCAAATTGTTAAAGAACGTCAAGTTACACGTGAAAAACTCCGTTATAAACAACAAGTATTCCAGAATTTACAACAAAGAGATACTCAACAACAACAACAACATCAGCAACAACTATATGAAAATCAATTGCAAGTTGTTGGGATTGAAGTTGGACCTAAAATTGGAAAGTAAATCATTTGACTATCAGCAAGAAAACATTTCTCATTTATCACAGAATTTTACCAAAGTGCCTTTTATTTGTTGATTTAGTGCTCCAAGTGGAAGTAGTGGTGGTACAGGATATTTGTTTAAATTGGCCCCATTGCAAAAGAATAATAATGATCAATTTCAAAGACGAGCAACGGATATCAATTCTTTTAAAAAAGATATCAATTCTTTTAAAAAAGATGTCGATAGTGATATGACAACGAGGTATTTAAGCGATAAATATTCCTCGAGTAATAAACGAATATTACTTTTTATATTTAGTGCTATGAACCAACGTGTGTACAATAATGTTTTGAAAATGAATAGTTCAACTAGCAAATTTGTTCAGCATTATTGGAACAACAATTTACAAAAGAAAACAAATACATTTTATATGGAAAAATTAGATAATTCTCAAAAAGTCATACCAATCAATTCACAAACACCCGATACGGATGGTAGTGACGAAGATATAAATGCTCGTATTGTAGGTGAGGTATGTTCTCTCTTTCTCTTCTTTTGCAAGTTCATATCGTTTGCCTTTTTTCTTCTGCTTTTTTTCTTGAACACATGTGTACGTGTTTAAAATAATTCTTTTATTCAAAATTTTTACTCAAAGATAATTAGTTTTAGTATAATTAATAGTTCACTGACAGTTTATGCAGACGTAAAATATAAACATTCTATTGTTATTATTTGAGTTTAACAGTTGAAAACAGGCACATATACATTTTAAGATATTTCTTTTTTTTCCATTTAAAGACTAGGGATACTAAAACGACATTACCACAAATAACAAGAACATTAAATACCGTGGTTCAACAACCAAATAGTAATAATGAGACTAAACAACATCTTCACAATTCTCAATTTCAATCAACAAAAACTGTGATTAGTGGACACAATAATTCTTCTACGAATGTGACGCATCGATATCGAAAACAGCCTCAAATCATCAACAGACAATTACCACCTATACTCCAACGAACAACAACACATATAAACTCAGTAAAATCAAGTGATTCTACGACAAGAGTTAAACGAGAAGATCGAATAAAAGATTTCCATACACAGTAAGATAGACTTCTTAAATATTTTTATCAACATATTAAATATTTAGTAATGAATTGTTAGAAATCATCAAAATGAGGTAGCAAAACACATCTTCAATCGAACAACGATACAACCAACACCTGTTCATGTTTACACAATAAATTCTATTCAAACTAATGCCACATCGCTAATAACACCATCGAATGTCAATAATGAACTAGGAAATTCAACGAGAGATCGTATGATAAAAGCAAATTTAATTCAAAAAGCAACATTTAAATCGAAATCACCCATTAATGATTCAGAGAGTGCATATAGTCGCTCAATGGCAACCACTACTGTCGAGCGATCAAAGACTCCTAATCCATTCAAAGTTAGCGAGAAATTGTTATTAAGGCTTGGATATATCTTGTAAGTAATCGATATTTTTTTTCTTTATAGCAAATTGATATCAGTTTATTTTTAAACGAAACAACGAGAAATCGATTAAAACGTTTATTCAATCAATTAGATTCAGACAAAGACGGGTAACGAATGAGACGAAACTTAAACCAACTATTATTCTTAAATAACATACATTTTTTTAGACATTTAACTTATCCACAATTGCAAAAATGTTTACCGAAGGATATGGTGCGTGCACAAGAAACATTTTTTAAAGTGGTATGTCATACAAATCGACATCTATTCATTACGAGACTCGAGTTAAGAACACTTCTTAACCATCATATTGCTGTTGTGTATTTTGAAAAAATCCATCAATTTTCAAAATTTATCATTAAATCTGTTTAAGCTCTACGAGATAACGAGTGAAACAACATTCTTTGGACTTCAGGAATTTTATTCTACAGCTGTTATGTTAGACAAAATACATCATCAAGAGTGAGTATATTTTAATCTATTAGTATTTGATTGTCTATAATTGTATTTATAGTCCAACATTGTGGCAGCTTCTTGACGATGTTGACTTCAATCACTATCGCGAAGATATGTTAGAATACATTGTAAGTATCGTGACGTATTGTGATTCTTAAAAATTCTTTCGTCGAGTTAGCTCTTTTTAAAAATTCTGTTAACAATACAGAAATTTCAACATTCTACACTTCTTCTTTACTGACAGATCTATATTATTAATTGTAATGGTTTACTCTGATTAGATCGAATTTGATGCACGTGAAAGAGAAAGTGTTCACAATCTTACGCAAACAATTCCGTTTGATAGCCTATTATCAATTATATCATCTCGTACAAATAATTCAGATTGGTCTCATACAAAACATACTTACGATGAATTTTTTCGTTTTATTTCACAATTGTCATCTAAATCAAACCCAACTCTTACATACATTTCTCGTCTTGATTATATCTGCCACATACCACTATTTTTATATGTTGAGTCATTGTTGGACAATGCACCACCACTATTTCGATTTCGTGAAAATTCTATACTTGATCTACATATGCAACGCTCAAAAATCATTAATGAACACTTTTGAATGTATTTTTGTCATGATTTTTACTTTTCTAAAAGAAAAAAAATGTATATATTTCACTCAGACCCTCTTTTAACACTGGATTGGAACAAATTTCAACTTTTACCATGGCTTTCTCAAACAGTCAGCAAAAAAATTAGCAAGATTAGGAAGAAAATTTTGTTAACAAGGACATATTCCTATCAGTAAGAATGGACTCCTTAGACGTTTCCCCAGCAATGATTTGCTGCTAAAAGAGGCGTTGCTTGCACCGAATTTTTTAATCTATAATCAATTTGACATGACTCTTAAAGTAAGTATCAACTTACGTTTATGAAAGTTTGTGGTTGGCAACTGCTAGGCCTTTGTTTTTCGCGTAAATGTTAGTCAGGACTTCGCACGACGTATATATGCTTCAAGAAGTCCATAAAAAAAGATCAGAACGTAGATATAAATAGTTGTACTTCGATAGAATGGTTTATGATCGAAGTGCTGATCCAATGGATGATACTTTTACACTATAATCGGCTTAAAAAGATCATTGAGGGAATATGTTTCTTATGCTGTTGATTACGCTGATATAATTATGTATACTCTTAAATAGCTTTGCATAGAATCTCGGGCTATCAGAAAAACTAACAATGGTATGCAAAAGATGTATGTTCTCAGTTGAACAAATCAATATATATTCACTGTTTTGATTTTAAAAAAATGTGGTAGGTCTTGCTGGTATTGTAGTCGTATAGAAGTGCAGCTCTTTATGTTCGGAACATATGTATTGACCTTGTAAACATTTCGACTTCTAGTTCATTTTGAGTGAGGTTGCTTCTTTGTTTGTTTTGTTAATTTATAGTTGAATATAAGCGCAGAACGACAAAAATAAGCTTTTTTATAGACTTTGATATAATAATCATGCTGTTAGAAGAAATACCTTCAGCCAAAACTAATAATTTAACGCATGTAAAAGTACACCTATGAAAATACCCTAGAGGTTTTTTATTATATGTTAATGTTAGAAGGCTCATACTTATTAAACTTGTAGTACTTTTTATTTAAATTTAAATCATTCTCATATGGTGCACACAGTGCATATATTTCGTATTTATACTAGGTTGTATTTGCTTTTTTCATCGTACGTCAAGAGTTTAGAGTATATTTTCTAAAAGATCTTATTATAGCTCACATCGTCAGCCGATTAAAAATAATTAAAAGATTATTTGAATTAAATACTAAATTAAAAGATACTTAGAAACTACAAAGCAAGAAAGCTAGCGTAACTATTGCAAACGCGGCGTTCCTGATTGTATTTTTGCTACCAAAGATGGAAGACAGTAGCAAAGAATCATCAAGTATGATTATGGTAGGTTCCTTACTAGAGCATCAGCTGCATGCACCTATTCTCAGAGACATAGTGGGAGAAATAACTTACGGTAAAAGAGTAATAATAGTAATAAACCTGATTATAGTATTACAGAAATGCGACAGCAGTAATAAACAATAAGACTCGAGAGTCTCACTCGACTTAATTCGTGTCTTTCTTTTTTGTTTATCAATTTATCATGGTGACAGCCTTAAAGAAGGTTGTCTGTCAATGTCTATCCCTGAATGCAGCAGTGGTATGCGGCAGAGTTCTACGCATGTCTTCCACAATGTTCCATGCAGATCTGTGCTAATCTGTCCATAGGATAGTTACCTGCCCGAGTGAAATGTCAGGCTTTCTCACAGGCCCTGCGAATAGACATTCTTATTTTCTAATAGATAGGGGATTTTTAATAATTTTTCTACCTTATACAAAACTCGGTATGTTTTAAAGATTTTTTTGTATTGTTTGCTATTGAAATAAACATCGATCAATCGGCTATATGTGAAGCTTAAGCTAATCTGTAATTGATTCATGTAGGAAAGTAATTGGTTACCTTTTTCCTCGTCTAACTTTAGAGAACTTTATTCTTTAAAATATTTTTTCTATAGCTTTATTCAGTCACTTGTACTTCTGTCTACCACTTCGCCATATATTATTGAGTATTATTTTAATCGAAGAGCTCTGATATAAATGTTTCAAAATTGAACAATAATCGTTTAAAAAATATATTTTATACGTTTCGATCGCTTTTATTTCATGTTTTTACAATCATTTATGTGTTTCGATTAGATACTTGACTTAAGTTTTATTTTTCCAGAACACAAGCGGAAATAATTCCATTATGACACCCTAAAACTTAAATAATCGACAAACGTAAAATCAAATTTTGTACAAATAAACAAAATTTTGCAGTCAATTACAAAACTAAATTCACAGTTCCTAATCTATATGCGTATAATGATAACTATTCATGGATAAATCGTTTATGAGCGAAAAATTCTTATATCTGCCTAGTATTAGAAACATGCCTATTGTGTAAGCTGTGCAATGATTGAAGGTGTGCAATGGACTCGATGTCGTTAATGTTCATTTTTCTCTGTTGCTTGTTCAATATTGTCTTTGATACGGTCGTTTAGTGTGTGTGTGGATCGGTTCTGATGTGAAAAAGTATAATTAGTCTCTAGAATACTAATACTGTTCTTGCTTAAAACAAATTGAAATTTAAAACAAAAAACTGATAAGTTCTGTAATTTTGTCACAATAAGTTTTGAACTCATGATGAAAAAAAAAGTAAGAGAAAAACAAACTATGATAGATATAACAAATTATAATAGGATAGCATGAAGTTTTCTCAAAAATTCTTCAATTGAAAAATAAATTAAGTAATAATCTTAATAAAATAAAAACATTTATGGTATATGTCTATGGTATTTACTATGTGTTAAATGGTAAGAAAAATATATTCAACCTTAATATTGAATTAAATAATTCGGTACCATTATAAGATTGTTTCTATAGAAGGATTTAGCTTCAATAAATTAGTAACCTGTTACATGTATATACTATTCTCATATTCTATATCGATGACAAAAGGGTATCATCTCTTTTTTATTCAGTTATAATCCTAGCGTATATAGTTACCTCTGACATTTATTGTCCTATTATTCATTACTTGTTGAGAATATGACATAGCATGTATGAACGTTCTCTCATTGTCAAACAACAAAAACCATTACGATGTTATGTGAGAACAAACACTTGAATAATAATATATAGAATAAAAATTCTCAACACTATTATCCATTCATACATACTAATCAATTTAATAGACTGTTTCATATTTTAAAACAAGTTTTTCTAGAGTATGAAAACGAGTTTTTGAATTTTTGATTGTACCCTACGGTTTAATTAGAATGTTGACATATGTGTATATGTTTGATTTCAACAATTTTTGTCACAATTGTCAATAAATTTATATTAAAAAAAACTCAACTTTATATATAGACAAGGTTATTCATAATTAAGTAGTCTTTATGTGAATCTTCATAGATAAACTAACACACAAAAAAAAAAAAAAAGAAAATATTTTTTGGTTAATGGTGGATTTTATAGAACATGTTTTGTATATTTATTTTTACTCAACATACGTAAACAGATATTTTTAATTAAATATTTTCGTGATTTAATCAGTGTTTGGAATAGAAACAAAAATACAGTTAGTAATTGGTAGAAAAATTGATTACAATAAATATCTAGCATAAATAATAGAAAATAACACGCTATACGTGCTAATCTAAACATGGCACTATGATAAATGGAATATTTGAAACTATTTTATTACGATAACTTCGTGTTTCATATTTATTTTTAGATGTTAATTTGAGTAACATTCGTCAAATACAGCATGTATGCATGATTTCTAAATTCTTTCAAAACTTATCTAATTTATTTCAATAATGATGAACAACTGGTAAAATTTCTTCATGAGATTATATACCTACACATTAGTTTTATTACCACCTTTGAACATTTCTCTTTTTTCTTTTTTGTTTCTTTTTTAAACATTTAATTTTCATTTTATTCGTCAATATGAACTATGAGAAAAAAGTGAGGGAGAGTGAGAGAGAGAGAGAGAGAGAGAGTGAGTGAAAATGACATAAATTCTGTTATACTCTGTTTTTTTCATTTGCATGACCTAATCGACCTTCTTTTTTCAATTCAATTAAATAATAGATGAATGAAGAAGCTGTTGCTCAAATGTATCAATTTTCGTTCATTTATACTTAAAATAAATTATTATCACACATGCATATAGGTGTTTATGTCACCATTTTTCATTCATATTAAAAAAAAAACTGACATTTTCAGACTGTTCAATTATTTATATACTATACATCGATCGAGACAACAACTATCATGAGATTTAATGTTGTTCTGTCCTTCATGAAATAATAAGAACAACATGAAGAAAAAATTCTTCTACTCATTTCTTCCGGTGATACAATATTCGGTAAGAATAAGAATAAGAAGAAGAAGAAGAGAATAAAAATAGAAATAATCACTTCTTTTTAAGTTGATTGTGATGTGAAGTTTTTATAACTATGTATAATAAAACCTATTTAATTTTGTATATAGTTGTTCAAAAGTAGACTTTTTTTTTTCATATTTTTATCCCAATTGTAGCAAATAATAAATAGTATATTAGAAGAAAAAATTTTTGAATTAGGAAAAAGAAAGAACAAGTGTTGACTTTATATATGCATCAAAGATAGGATAAGAAGAAAATAGACAATAGACAAGGACTAACAGACAATCACCGAGATACACACTTATTAGTTGTATATAGTATAGTTTGATAATAATGAAGATAAAAAAAGAAAAAGAAAAGAAGAATATAACGGAAATAACAGGTAATATATCCAAAGTATTATAGAACTATCATCCGTTACATAGATCAGTTTGTAACTAGTCACAAATTTGTCTATTTAAATCTACTTTTGAATAGAAAATACAGCGAAACTGAACGAGAATACCGTTCGTCGGTTTGACTCTTACATTGTCAATGTATCTATTAGAAATAATGAAAGATACCACAACAGTATTGCTAAATTTAGTATAAGATCTTCTAAAACTTTGAAGTGTACATGGATGATGATTTAATCTACAGTTTTCATCATTTTCCTTATCAATTTTCTTTTATCTATAAGACTAAGTAGTCTATTGTAAAATCAAATTATATCGTCTAAATAGTTCAAGTGTTTATTTTAAAATGACTTATCAAAAGATGTGTTTAATACGTTATATTAGTGATCCATAACTGATTACATATTGTTCACTGATTTTCATGGAAAAAAAAAAATATATTTCTTTTCTTCTCCGTCTTTTTCGTAGCTATTGAATTTGTAATAATAATAAAATTGCATCTATCATCATCATCATCATCATCATCATAGTCATTTTTTTAAGAAAGTTATTATTATTTATGTTCTTCCGTTTTTAAAAATGAAATAGATTATGCATAGAATTTTTTCTTCTTCCGTTTCTCTGTAGTTTTTATCATAAACGGATGCATGAACTCATTATAGACAACATCTTTTTTTTTTTCTTCCTTCTGTGTAAATCGTGCCAGATGATCATCACTTTTTAAATAAAATAAATGACCTTGCATTTTTCATATTAGATATAAGATAAAAAAATTTTGTTTCAAGGTGATTCCGTCTATATATACATTTTCTCTTCTTTTTCTATACTTCAAAACTATTAACTGAATGAGCAAGCTAATTTAATTGACTAAACGAAATAGATCATTGATAAAAATTTCTAATAATAGAATCTAATTGCACTTAAACATTTTGTTACAAATTATCCACTTGCGTTGTCTAAGTAGAGAAGGATACGAACAGTCTATAACAATGAGAAAAAGAATGATTTGCTGATTTTAATTTACATTTTTGTTTAAAAAAAAACAAGTTGATCATTTCTGAAATACGATATTCATAATTTTGATAGTATTGACGTTGCGAAATATCATTCGAACTATCGCAGGTATTTCTTTATTTTAGTTTTTTTTTTTTTGTTGAACTTTCAAAAAAAAAATCTAAATGCTCATAAACTATCAGACAGTCAATGTAAATAAAGTCTGACCATGAAAATTATCTCATCTTTTTCTTATTCAAGGTAAAGACAATCATAAAACATGAGACTCGTCATCATTCATCATTCATCATTTATTGTGGTTTTAAATTTCAGAAAATAACAATAGAATAATAATAACAACAAGGAGTAAAATGAATTTTAATATTATTAAATTGATTTTTTCAACGTATAGACGTCACAAGAACAATTTTTTATTAAAATTATGTCTCGATGAGTAAAACAGCACCATATAGTCCTACACGTAAAGCGGTACATTTTAATTCCGCTAACAACATCACACCACTACATTGTGATCAAAATGCAAAAGATCAAGAATATCTTTTACTATCATCTTCATCATCCATATCCGGATCAACATCGGCAGCAACAGCAACAACCACAACAACAACAACAACAACAGAGATACCAATTCATTTTGGTGATGAATCAGCAAATAAAACAACTATAACAGATAATGAAAAAACTGTAACTGATTCTCTATCATTTCCTCTATTAGCCGAGCGAGCTGGTATAAAATTTAAATTAGGTGTACTATTTATAACATTAGTTGTTGCATTATTAATTGGTTTAGCGTTCAGCATCATCTTAGTAACACAATTATTCAATAATAATCATTATCGACAATCATTGAGTGAAATAATGAATCGAAAAAATCAACATCATTCGACCCTATTACAACCACAACATATAACAGCAACAATGACAAAACTTCTTACAAACAGTAGTTATTTATTTGAAACAATTTTAAAAAATAAACACAAACAAGAATGGATAAATGATGTTGATTTTACTTTAAATCCGTGTGATGATTTTTATGCATTTTCATGTCGAAAATGGCTACATCAACATCCACTATCGGCACTTGAATTTAAACGTAGTTGGTTAACAGAACGTTCAAAACAGATACGTACAAATTTTGCTAAAACATTTTTAGATTTTAGTTCATCTATTTATGATAAATTAGGTGTAAATATGTACGATAGTCATAGTGGTGAACATATTGAAGATGAAATAAAAAGTCAAACAAAAAATGAATTAGAACAATTTTATACAAATGGTGAATATGATGGAGATGATATAAATCATGGAGATACATATTATAAAATTATACAAAAACGGATGTCACAACATGATAAAGTGAAAAAATCAGCAGTATCAACCTTACAATCATTAACAGATATGAAAAATAATGAATGGAAAAATGTATGTATATTTATACTACAGTCTAGTTCTGTAAATGATAATCTATAAATTATTATAAGTATTAAACATCTGATAATTTATTATCTTTAGCTTAAATAAATTAGATTCTAATAGAAAATTCTTTTATTTTTTCCTAGGTAATAGAAAAATTTGAAAATAAAACTGATGAAATAGAAGAACAATTTGCTCGATCCATTGTCAATATGGCATCATATTATCATCAATGTTTTCACACATCTGAATCTGTTTTACTTCAACAATTAAAACAATTGGCAAATGAACGATTTTGGTTTGCTCAAAATACAATAAATCATTTATCAACAAAAAATGATGATTTACATTATCAATATTTATTTGAACAAATGCAAGAACATTCACTTCTTAAAGTATGGCGTGTTAATTCCATAAATATTGAAACACAAACAATTATTCATATTGAAAGACAAATTCATCCACAAAAAATGACATTAGACTATATTCAACCACAATTATTACGTGCAAGTATATTTGAACATTATGTTAAAACAAATCAAATTGATTTATGTTATCAATCAAAACGTGTTGGACCATTAACTAAAACAATAAATGAATATTTTGAATTAATTCAACAAATAGATCCATTAAATGATAATATTAATAGTTCATCATCAATAAGTGAAGATTTAAGAAAATTATCATCAGGTTCAAATCAATTATCTATTATTTATTCAAGTGTAAGAAAAATTTCAGAATTACGTGATATTCTTCAATTTATGACTGATAAAGTATTTAATCAACTTAATATTACATTTCATGAAGATTTATTTCAAAATTTTACAAATTTTTTAATTCAATCAAGTGAATATCGTAGTGTTACAATTGGTTTAATTGTTCCACAATGTCGTTCATTTTTACATTATTATATTCAATTTCGTTCATTAGTATCATCAAATAATATTAATATTTATTCAAATATTAATTTAATTCATTGGCTCGATTATATTTCACAATCAATTATAAATATTCTTCGTTCATGGCCAGGTGATATGTATTATACGTGTTTATATTCAACAATGATTCGTACACAACAATTACAAACAATTTCTTATTGGAATGAATTTATTATTTATATTAAACAACAACATCATCATGATCATTATCAAAATGGTACAAAAAATTTTTTATCTCATACGCCTATATATAATATTGAATTACGATTATTAGATTTTTTCTATCTTGATTCAATATTTCGATTTTTATTTGCTGATAATTTAGCACACTATTGTAATATACAAGTATACAAATATGGACCAAAATTATTACCATTTGTTAGTATAAAACATGAAGGTATACAAATAAGTTTAAAAAGTTTATGGAAACAATTAATTGATCATCCAAATAACAAACAACAAATTATTTGTAAGAATTTTTTTTTGAAATTTAAATGTGTTGATAGAATGTTTTTTTTTTTTTTGTTTTATAGATGATCATTATAATCCTCGAATGATGTCCGATAGTCGATGGGAAACATCACCATTAGAATTATTACGTATACCAAATGATTGTTTATCAATTGTTGAACTCTATTATCCATGGACATTATCATCATTATACGATTATTATATGAAAAATAAAACAAATTATTTACATTCCGTAGCATTATCATTAAAAGAAAATTTAATTAATGATATACCAATTTTAATTGAAAAACTTCCTATATCATCAATAAATATTGATGATATTATTGAAAAATTATTACCTATTGATCTAGTCATAATACCAGAACGTCTTAAATTATTTAAAGAACATTTTAATAATGATGCAATATATCCATTCTATGAATATTATCATTTAGAAGATATGTATTTGAGTACAGCATGGAATTTAATTGAAAAAGATGAACAAATATCGACAACATCTACAATAAATCATATTGTATTTGAACAAAAATCTGTTGCTAATACAATATTACCTAGTCATGAATTTTTTGAAATAAATGGACATCATTCAAATGATCAAATATTTTTACAACCAACAATTGGTGAACTATTATTAATTGATGAAAATGATATTAATAGTCAAATAAGTGCATTATTTATAATTGGACATGAACTTGGACACGCATTTTGGACAAGTATATTATCTCAAATAAAAACATCATTATTATGTTCATGTAATTTAACTGGATCATTTCAAGAAACGATGGCTGATTTAATTGGTCTTCATTTATCATTAGATTATTTTTTAAATACAACAATGATTACAAATAATAATTATTCAAACAGTGATTTATATAAACTATTTTTTCTATCCTACGGTCATATTGAATGTAGTCATATTAACAGTGAAATGACTTTTCTTAATGAAGATGTAACAAAACTACAAGTAAATAATGTTTTAGAAAATGAGTTATTTTTTTCAACTCTTAATTGTACTAGTAAAATTATTTATCACACTAATGTCGATAATAGTTCATTTTCATGGTTAAATAATATTTGTAATATTTGTAAAATTAAAACATAAACAATAGACTATTTTTTAACATAATTTTTGTTTTTTGTTCTAAGATAATAATTTTATTCTTTGTTTTTTTTTTTTGTTTTTTCCATTGGTTTATTGATGATTGGAGTATAATGCAGACATAAGAGTATAGCGACCCCACAATCAATAACAAGTATGAAATATATCCATTTTATTAAACTAATGAAACATTTTCCTCAGCCATATTGACAACAATTGATGGTGTAACCAGCGGTTCATCAAAATGATATTGTTTTTTATGTGAACGTATTTTTTGTCTATTGTAGTTCATAGTAGAACAAATAATAACTGTTATTCTATAACATTGTAAAATAATAATTAGACCATTTTTACATGTAAAAAAGACGCTTGAATAACTTAAAATATGATAATGGAATATTAATATAGCACGAAAACAAAAAAATGGCATATCTTGAAGTAATAATGACATTAACATTCCCCAGAAATCAGAAGGACTACAACATACGGCACTGGGACGTGGATGAAGCATTGCTGCAGATGAACTAAGACGTGATTTGCGACCGCGAGATGCTGTTAGAGCAATGCAAAATTGTAATAAGCTTAATGTCCATAGAACAAGCACAAGAATACTCAATGTAAAATTTGCTCGTACCTAAAATAAATCCGAAATAGATGAGAATATTATATTAAAATATATTTCAAAAGTATATTTATTATAATATTTATAAAGTACTAGCGGAGGTACCCGATGTAGAGTGAGTTGCCTTGAACTTTTCCATCTTTAACAGGACCTTCCCCACCGTGCATAAATTGAGATGCTTAGTCACACCGACTATATGATGTGAGAATTTAGTTTATAGCGTGTAAATCTGCTTTGGTTCTTTCTACCTATCACCATTTCTATCACACACCTCTGCATTAATTGTAAAAAGTAGCAGTAGTAGGC